ATATCTTTGTATAAATACATTGCAGGATGTACTATTGAATTGCTCGCCAGAGTTGAAAGAAGTGGCAGCAGTTGGCCTTGGAGAAATGATCGCGTTAACGGATCCGCCATGCCTGTCTCATCGGTTTGTTAGCAACTTCACGGGTCCGCTAATACGTGTATTAGGCGATCGCTATGCACCTTCATTAAAAACAGCTGTGTTACACACTTTAACACTTTTATTGAAACGAGTCAGCGCTCAGCTCAAGCCGTTCCTCCCACAACTATATTCGACATTCACCCGAGCGTTGGCGGATGCCCACCGTGGGGTTCGACTGCACGGCGCAGTTGTTCTTGGCTGTCTCGCAAATATCTACCCTAAACCAGCGGCCATTGTACAGGAACTACATAATCAGGTTTTTTATCAGCACATTTATCATTCACATTTCTATAATACATCAATACTGAAAAACCCTTAGTTTTTGATAAATATCATATGATCATTTTCTATATCTGTTTCTATATCCAACTTTCAGAGTAACTGATCGTACTTGAATGACTGTTTAAGAGCATTTCAGTGCTTAATTTGAATAACACCAAAAGGTAATTTTTAATATCTATTCCGATATTTACCACGAACAGAACACGTAAATGATTTGCTTGGCTGCTTCGCTAGATGGAAGATAGGGACAATGGAAGTCTCGTCAATCCATAATCTATTTGCACGTCACTTATTAAGAGCAAAGTGTATGTATTTTGCTTCTTTGGAGTTGATTTACTGGTTCAGCATTTAGTTTTTTTGTCACAGAATTTTCACGGTGGGCAAGAACAGATGATTTGAACTTTGCCATCAAACCAAACTTACAAAGAAATGAGGTTTCCTTTACAATGATAGCTTTAGGGAGAAAAGTTGCATTTAGGATGCAACTATGACGATCTTTCATCATTAACTTCTTTCAACTTCTCGGAGATGATTCAGAGATATCTATACTAAAAAATATATAACGTATCTTACCATTTAAATATCTCCTAACTCAGTTTAGGCAAGCTTATATCGAGTACGAAAATAATTATCACCTAATCACAAAGCTCTTCAGATATCTATTAAACTAACCTAGGATAGGACGTTACACCGTTTGTCCCGTCTTTTTTCCATTTATTGAGCTTACTGATGAAACTATCTGTTGCCTAATGCATTTCTGATACGTTACCAGCGGTTATTGATAACTGGATACTTATTTCTTACTTAGAGATGAAAGTAGAGACAATAATAGAGCCTAGATTTGGTTAATATTCTTTTCTACAGCGTGCATGGGCGTAATAGGCCTAGGTGTAATAGTGTCTCATTTAAACGTTAAATCTTAACGCAGACACCCAAGTATCTAACGTATCACTTTAAAAACTCGTACACATGGATTAACAGGATAAAGTGATAAAAAAAAATTGCACTCGCAGTTAATCGGAAACGAAATACCAACCATGTTTTCGTGCATTTGTGATAAAATTTTTCATTCCAATAGTGACCATACTAGCGTACAATAAATTGAGTTTGTGTTCTCACAAACAAATACTTAACAGCACTCCAGTGAATGAAGTCGATTAAGTTCTGTAAAAATGTAGAGGTTAGATATTCCGCCATACTACGCATGTTGTAAAAGAGAAAGTGAATGAGATTTAGACTATAACATTATCTCTACTTGAAAATATTTACGAAAAAACTCTAAAAAACGGTCTTTACGAAAATTGACAGTCTAGAAATAAAATGTCACAATCTGTTTACGAAGATATATTCATGTCTTACCCATATCAAGGTCAATTGGTTACCTCTTTTAGCAGGTTTTCTAGATGGTCTCCTAGTGGTACATCCACTATTGAAGTGCACTTGGCAAGTACGATCATACAATATAAATACTCACGCGAATACGAACATTGGCGATCTCAAACATTTCATATAACAATAGGTCGATATACAAAAAGTTACAATTTTACTAATGGCACGTCACATGTATATAGTTCTACGGTATCTAGGTTGACAAATAATTAAAAAACTTCCTCCTACGCAAAACAACAATTTGTTTTATGAATATGTATCGCCGCAGACAATTTAAGAAGGTGTATATGTAAGGAGAACCACATCTATCAGACTGCACTAGGCTATATTTCGAGTCAGTCTTCAAAATATAATTGTTGCACTGAATACGAACTACGATCTAGCAGTTTATGGTCTACATATCCCACAAGAGTCGATCCAAAAAGGTGCTACAAATCGAACCCGGCCTGGTTATTGTATTTGAAAGAATTTCACGTGGTTTTTCAAGAACAATGACTTTACACCTATGTTTTTTAAATTAGTGTAGTGAAGTCTGCAGTCAGCATCCCAGTACTGAATTGTTCCTCTAAGCATGATGCTTACAAAAAAGGTTTATAATGCCCGCGTAATGCAATAGATGTATACACAATTTTAAGACTTTTCGCGCCCATCACACGCGCTTATTTCTAATATATTTATTTTCTTCCACACATTTCATTGTACTGTGCATTTAAAATATAACTAATAGAGTTTTTTTTTTAAAGATAAGACTTACGGTTGCCATTGCTATTGCCTTTACAGGTGAAGACGGTGGACGATCCTTCCTTCCGCGAGACACTACTATTTGCGTTGCGTTGTGTTCTTGAACGTTTACCATCGGCAACAACCACAACAACTCAGTTAACAGACGTACAGCGTCGATCGCTTGTACAGAGTTTGGCTGCGTACGGAACATCTGCCGAAGATTCCTGTCGTCGACAAGCTGCGGCCTGTTTGGGGGCCCTTTGTAACGCATTGCCATCAGAAGAGCTGACGACTATTTTATCACAGTACATATTCGGTAAGAATGACACAATACACAGATCTGCCGCTATAGAGAACAAGTATGACAATGATTACGCGATTCTTACAATCTTAGATGTCCATGAATTGACATTGTAGTCCTATTTGCTTCTTTCAAATGTCAGTTCATAGTATGTTAACTAGTCTCCCAAAGGCTTTATACAGCTATCAGTAGCAAGAAATGCCAGTACTTTGTAACTAATTGGGAGAATCAAGTAAAAAGATATCTAAGGTAGAACATCAATGCATTCCCATTTATTGTTTTTACATTAAAATTAAAGGGGTTAATCGCTGTGTTCTTTTGCTTTGCATTTTTATACCTGTTCTCATTATTGATAGTTTTTCTAAAATACATTGCATAATCTGTAGCCATCCTAGAATGCCAGCGATCGAAATCAAACGGACTTAAATCAGGAGAGTAACGGCCGAAGCCATTGTTTGGTTCTTTTCAACGATTCAAATCGTAATTGAAGCGTAGCGATGAAATCTTGCATTGTTGTCAGATAACCACATGATTATGTAAAAACTATTCAACAATAATATATCCACGTAATGCCGCCGAAACTATTTGTAAATCTGTGTGTGCTGTCGATCGTCGTGCCGTACATTCATGAGGCTACTCAGAACTTAATCATTTCTTTTTCGAGCGGATATGAGCATTTGCTTAGGACCGAATCTATTTAGCCTTACTACCAAAGCCGTTTTCTTTTCTGTTGACCCATGATCACGGATCAAAACACGATCAAAGGAAACAATAGTTTCATTTGATCGTGTTTTGGTGTTTGGAATAGGCTAAATAAAATACAAAAATAATATATAAATAGACTGGACATTCACGATATTAATTAAATTCTCTTGTAGGCCTTATAACTACTGTAAGACACTATCGGAATAACATTTTCCAGATCGAAGCGTTCCAGTTCTCGGAGCTCCAGAAGTCTAATGGACCTGCCACTTTTATTTTTAAATGAGATATATATTTTATTTATCTCAAAGACAACTATGGTACGCCGTACTATATTCTTGCTGTTCTAACGGGTTTATGAGTGCCATATCAAACTACCGCAGCTAACCACAAAAAGAGTTTCATGCCGTGTCAGCAGTTATTAAATGATCAACATTGAGCTCGACTTTAAGGTTTTAAGTTGTCTTAGCTGTTGTATACGGGGGTGCTTCTATTTTAGAAACAATTAAATATCAGTATTTTGAAGATCAGATTTTACCTTATCGTACTTCATGATAAAGGAAACCCTTTTGCACGACAACTGTCAAAGCAGAAATTTCGTTTTTCAATATCATATTTATTTCCGTGTTTTATGTTTAATGGTTCCAGAGAGTCAGCCTGGATCTGAATGGACGGTTACCCATTTTCGTGCCGTAAGCCTTCAAGTTGCGTTAAGACTTGCTCCTGAAACCATTGTGCCTAAACACCTCAGGTATGTAGTCTTGTTTTGCTCACTGAAAAAGCAAAACAAGCAACCGAAGTAACTTGGGTAGCTTTTGAGCTTCGAGCGCTTGAGTACTGTCCATGATACGGTAAAGCTGAAAGCCGTCAAGGCAGGGTTAGATAGAGTAGATACAGTTCTTCGTTAAATTTATATGTTAAGTCCTGCTATATTAAGAAGATTCATCGTAGAAAAAAGAAAAGAAATTGTAGGCGTAGGGTTTTGTAAGGCAACCACGCGTCCGGTACCTCTTCAGACATAATGCTAGTAAGAACTTCTAACTAATACATATTACATGTTAGCAATAACTATTTTTAGTATATATTGTATATTTCCTATTTTTATTTATATTTAAGGAATGTATTTCCTTTTTATATTTACGCATTAAAGCCTGTCCAGTAGCTGACTACTTGGGATATGCAATTCTGTAGTCTGATATCGTTGTCGATAGATTGTTCTAACGTAAGAACTCTAGAGGAGGTTTAGTATAGGGGAAGGGTAATATAAAGCTGTTCATATTAAACCAGGTTAGTTGATTTCCTTAGTCCTTATAAATTTTAGTAGTAATTGTTTTGGTTTTGGTGATTGTCCGTAGTAGTAGCCGCAGCAGGTCTCCAAAATACAAAGCTTTCAGTTCATTGTAGGTTAATGTAGGTTGGCAAAATAATTTTGTTGCTTTGGAAGAGAAGTTGTCTTTAAAGGTCAATCCGGTGAAGCCTAAAGTGCAAGTATTTGTGATATTATGTTCTCCTCGGACATATTTCATCTCTGTCCGGATGGTGATCGACTTTCGTTGCAGATAACTTGTTTCAGAGAAAGAATTGTAAGATACGCTATGGCTTCTATCGACCTCTTGGAAGCATTAAAATAATCGAAATCACTTGATTCGAAGAAGGCCGTCGCTTGATTCTGTGTTTTCCAATCCAGGAAGTGACCAAAGCGTCGCGATGACGTTTAGCAACCATACTGTGTGCTGTCTATTACCGTGTTACATTTCCATGAAGCTCTTCAAGAATTTCATCTGGCAGATTAGATCTCATTATAATAAGCGCTACTGATTTTCATTGTAAGTGTAGACCTCAACTTACGCCCGAATCTACTTCCTGCTGCCACTGGAATCTCTTTCAATGTCTGGCTTGATCTTTCTTTAATGGGCGGCACAGACTAGCCCATTTCTCGTCTAGAGTGACGGTATACCGCACGTACACCCATTATGGGTTTATCGCATTTCCTGCCGTCACCGATGATCGAAGACTTGACTTGGGCCTCAATCGTGAAACCACGTCTCGGGGCCGTGTTTCTCGTATATTGAGTAGAAGTCGTGGCAAACGTTAATCTATTGAAATTCCTGGAGCCCCTCTACATTGGCGTTGCTTGCAGCAGAAATTTAGGGGGTATATCCTAGTCTTGACTAAATGCTGGACAACGGATTCATTTGCATTAATGGGATTTTAATCCGTTTACTATCCCACTTGGAAGGAAATGGGACCTGACCGGTTCTGTGTCAAATGGTTTTACAACCATACGATTTTATCGTGCGCTATAGTGAAGGCAGCGTCATAGTATGACCGACAGATTTGGCTTATGGTGGGGTATATATGACCAAGCAACAAGAATTGCGGCTTACAAACCGTAGCAGACATTCTGGTTTTTTCATTATTGTGAGAAAAAACTCCAGTGCGCGCTTAGACTAGCCCATCCTCAAGCCGTATTTCAGCCCTTCCGCTTACTGGAGCACCACTGCCGAATAGTCAGTTCCAACAATCATGCCAACGTCTGTCAACTTTGCAGGAAGCTCTATTATTAAAAATGTACATTTACAGTGAACGCTAGCAGGGATAAAATCAAATACATCGGAAATTACTCTCTAGCTGCAGGCGCACAAATTAGCTCATCAGTGTTCATTGGACACTTAATAGATCGCTCTGTTCAAAGCATGTGTCTGTGTCAAACTCCTTTCTTCTCAGTAGCGGTTTGTCATCCCCAAAAACGAGTGATACAAACCAGCTATTGTTGTGGCACGGAGTTGTGAAGAAAGGAATTTCCTATAAGTTTCTTTTCTATTCACACACTGAAAATCAGTTCAGTGCTTCAGGAACAGCGTAGAGTCAGTCGATCTCTCCACCAGTTCAATTTGTAGGATTCTACTTTTTCATATTAAACAAAAATATATAGCTCTTGTCAATATATACCTAGGCAGTATATGAACATCATCCTTTGATCCCGTTGGTAGTGGACATCGAAGACATTGGTCCTTGGGGCTTTTGCCGACATTGGCCTTCCTAAGAACGTCCTGCAAGAAGGGAAACGGTGTGGCAATCGACGTTGAACTCTTGGAGTTTGCACTCTTTCAGATTATAAATGTAGTTTAAGGCAGTAGCTTAAGATTTCTCCTTTCCTCAGTTCTGCTTGAAAATCTACACAACAAGAAATGTGGTGAAGGTTCTTTTATGCAGATTATTTAGTTTTTTCGCTTCCACGTTCAGCAAGTTCTAACTAGGTGTAGCGATTTTGATTATTAACCTACCTAAAACCGAAGAATTGAAATTCAATGGAGGTGGCAGAATTGCTGCTTGTGACACTATCTCTTTGGCCTACCTAATCGATTCATCTATCTAATGTTGCTGTTGTTCTTCCCAACTTAGTAAAAAGCCTTGAAAGTTTCATCTTCAACACTTACACCCTAAGAATCCTTCCTTTCAGCGCTTCTGCGGTCGTCGCGTATAATATGAACATAACTTAAGAGGATCTCATTGTGGAGAATTTCGAGAAAAGCTTATTCCCTTAAAGAGCCATGAGATCGCACCAGGCGACTAAACGACAAAGAACCCTTGTTCTTGTTTAATATATATCGATATAACACACGGCATTTTTATAATATACCTAGTCGTGCTTAAATGCCATCAGTGCAATACCGAGCTAATGTTTTTTTAGTGTTTTTTTAAGCAACACACCACAATAGAAAGATTGTTCAACTGCAAACTTAACTTGGTCTACTACACTGTGCTGTCGATTTATGTATTTTTGTTATTATTAAATATTTATGTAACTGTGGTAATTTTTGAATAAAATTTTTACCGATATGTTAAGCTGCGGCAATCTCCATTTGTAATGTAAAGAGATGTGTATTTCTGCTAAGGGGCACCGCTGAGCCTAAGATGGTTTTTTCTTGCTGAACTGATAAAGGTGCTGTGTAATTGTGTTTCCCTTCAGTGCATTTTTTTTGTAATATTGACAATTATAGGGACCTGGAAACGTGTTTACTGTCACTGTTGGCATCCCATAAAGGGGCAGTTGCAGAAACCGCTTTAAGAGCGACAGGCTTTTTACTACTACACTGCGCCAAAGAAGGTCACGAAATACCAGTAGCGTTACTTACAACTTTTGCGAAGGTAAATAATAGTGCAGCACGCAAGTCTCTCTTTAAGTGTTTATAGCTAATACATGATTGTTTGTTCACATGTGCGCAATCTTTTAGAATTAATCTGGATATCGTGCACTACATATATACAGTGGTCTCCTCCATCGTTTTTTTTTCTTATTTCCATGTATCTAATGTATTTTGAAATGATGTTCGTATATTCTCACATAATTTTTATATTGTGAGCGTATTCGATAGTCATTTTACTATCCATACCACATAGTGTTGCATATACTTTTTCTATTCCATTAGTAAATATACAGCTGTTTTGTCTGATTGTTATAATGCAACAATAATTGACTTATTAACTTAAATTTCAAACATATTTTTTCTGTAATTAATTAGACGATGAACAAACCTTCTACTGAGTTGAAGCAGTTGTTGGGTGAAGTAGTCCATTTCGTGTGTGTGCATTGCGATTTACCCGTTTCATGTGCTCGCATCCTGACGCCACATCTCGTAAATGGAACAAAGGAAAAGAATACTGTAGTAAGTTGATAAACATCTGCGTATGAAATTTACAGTTCTTTTAAAATAAATTTATACTTGCAAATTGTTGAAACTTGCATATATTGCAATTTTTTTAGAATTAGATTATATAAATATAATCTATTTGAGCTATTAAAAAGTTAAGAAAGAGAACTACGTTTTTAATATTTTTTATAGGTACGGGCGAATGCTGAGTTCGCTTTAATAGCCATGCTGAAGGTAAGTAGAAAATCTAAAAAATTACGAAGCGATACTTTTGACTAAAATTCATATTAAAAGGCATAAAATATTTATTATTAATAAACTATGTAATGTAAAACTTCATTAAGTTTTACTGATTTGCTGATGATTTTTGCCTGTCAGGAGGCATAGGGTAACACATTATTGGATAAATAGTTCCTCTGATTTAATTTATTTTGAAGCTGCGACATGGCGATACTTGATTCGGCTAAAGCAGCCGTAACAGCACTTGTTCGATCCCATGTCAATCAAGGTTTGAAAATACCCTATGACTCTATGCACTTGCCATGTAGACGTCGATCCTAAATTTGTCTTAGTGTATTCAAGATTTCACTGTGGCGTTGGCGTGTAATCACGTCGTCAAAAATATGGAATGACCTTTTGTGTTCGATTGAAATTAGTGATGCAAGATCTATTGTAACTATAATGAAGTTATGGGTAAGAACAGCTATACTTCCCAACTAAACGCGCATTTTCGTAAAAAAGTAACACTAGCCCGCGTATGTCACGTCAACAAGTTGTAGGTTTCGGATAGAGATGTTCTTTACAGCCCATTAGACCGATATTACGTATACGAGTGGGTGACCCAACTTGACCGGTATATGCATTCTGTTTTTCAAAGGAACGGCTCTAAACAATTACCAAAGAATACTGGATAATCTAACATCAAGAAATGCTTATATTCTACCGTGAAACTAAATACTAAATACTTCTGATGGTTAGATTTGTTTGATACTGAAAAATCAGAGAGTCTGAATAGTTTATCCATTTTTCTTGCAATTAAGGCAGATGGATTTCGCAGCAGATTTCGTTGCTTGATAAATGAAAGAATAATCTGTTGTGAGAGAAGTGTACAGATGAGTGAATAATTTGTTGATTTTGCTTAACGATTGCATGTAATTTTTACATTGACATTTTGGGTTGTCATTCATTGTATTCAGATGACCGGTAGTCCAGCGGATGAGAAAAGCGAGCTGATGTGTGCTCTTGAAAAAGTACTGGATGGGGGAGCACGGGAGACTCTTATCGATGTTTACAACAAGACGCTTGTTCGGACAGCCCAAAAAATCCAGATGCAGCACGGTTCCGTGTGTGCTGGAGCACAGCCCGATCATATTGACGACACGATGCTAATGTGAATGATACAAAACAAACAACGAAAAAGAAGCCAATTGTTGCGGTTGACTAAGACCAACTATGAAGATAATGAAAACAAAATATCAGGTTTATGGTACACTTACTAGCGTGCCTTGTTTATGGTCATAAGTGGTTATGAGCAACGCGCAGTAATTGTATTTGTTCGATCTAAACATAAAGAAACTAAAGCTGCGTATAATACGCGCTACTTCAACTATAAATAAAGTTTTTTTTTTTATAAATTATATTACGTGTATAGTTATTCATAACTGTTTTATCATGAAGTCTTGACCGCTGAGTGAAGCATGCGCCATTATATATATAAGCGTGGCATGGGAACAAACATTGGTGGGCTGTTAGGCAATGGGTACGCATTCAACCGCTATCCTTCGTATAAGAAGAAAACCTGTGTTGTTGTTGTAATTTGGGTGAAATTCCGAGCGTTGGTCAAATCCTCATTAAGTTCAAAAACTTTTGTTTGCAATTTTTTGCGACTTTAAAAGATTTAAAGGAGATTTCGTACAAGACAACCCGGAAAATCGTCAATGAATTTTAGATTTAAAGGCTCACAAATTTATCAAAAAAGTTCAACAAGAAAAATCAAGGAACGTTCTTGATATACCCTAATACAGAAATTAATGTTTTTTTTGAGAGGAAAGTATTCATTGTTATTTGGATTTTCTGGGTCCTTTATCGTTTTGGATTTTCTGTGTTCTTTATCGTTTTGGATTTTTTGGTCGTTTGAGCCCCTTGAATTTTTAGAATTTTCGGGCTGCATAGGTCAAAAGTTTAATTTGACAGGAGCAGCGTAATTTAAGCGAATTTATATCAGCAGAAGCATAGTTACTACAAAAGAAATTGCAACGATAGTTTGAACTAGTAAATGATTAGGATCCTAAGAGGGTATATTTGCCATGAATGCTTATTATCTTGAATGAACATGGCCGTTAGACGTGGCACATGTAGCAGATTTTTAGAGGAGCGGACTATGTAGGTCTCTAATGCTTTTACCCCTATAAACAGCTATGATTGTTGCCAGGGAACGCTTTATAAAAAAACTGAATGGAGTTCGGGAGGTCAAAGATTACAATATGTCTGCAGTATATCCAGATGAAATACTCTTATGCATTGTAAAGGTGGGTGTTAAATGGTTCAAACATTGGTGCCTGAAAAGTGGAAAACCTGTATAATGATGTCAGATTATTGAACCAATTGATTGTTTTTCCATAGTACTGTTGATGAAGGTTTGAGCTTGGACGACTTTTCTCAGTGTAACTAATAACAAAATATTTGTTTTAGTGAGAAAAATCAGTACCAATGACCAGCTTAACGGTCCCGAAGCCTATATAACTATCATGTTTATGCATGATTCTGGTATAGGTGATTACCTACATAGTTAATTCTAATCCATGATCGTGAATATTTGCAATAATGTATGTGTCGGCAATATTGTTTTGACAGGAGGATATGTGGAACAGCAAGTGCAAAAATTCGGTGCCTAAATCTGAGACCTAACTTATTTAAAACGTAAGTTGTTCTTAGTTTAGGAGAAGTCGTAGAAAATTGAACCGACTATTTTGCTTCTTTATCGTTTTATAGAAGCCCGATTACATCTCTAACATTTTTGGGCCAGCTAACATTTTTTGGCTTCTTTTAGAACGCTCCTTGTCTATAAAAAAAGTAAAACAGCCAGATTACTTTCTACCGCAATTCCAAAACAGATTAAGAGAAACTTCGTTGTCCGTGTTAATTAAAATTACTAAAAAAGATAAGGCTATGTAGAAATAGCATTTCGATAGAACATGAAACAGGATATATATATAAATTGACCCCTTTAATTGTAGTCGAAACAGATCTAATAATCTGAGTTACACAATATTTCTGATAGGTGAGTAACTCACGAATTCTAAGTTACGATGACGTATTTAATCGCTGTCACCCTACCAGTATGGGAAAATGGGTCTATACGTACTATTATTTTTAACAAGAAAACGTTGATTCAAGATTTAATCATCATAAAATAATCCGATTTTTTTAAATGTAATTCGTGTTATCGGATCATATATATGTAGGGCCCTTACGACATGACATCATACAGGTACCATACATTCATGTGAGTGAGTAAATGGATCTTGGATCAGTAGTGGTCATCACCGTAGGCAATCACCTACGAAAATCTTGTAATGATTTTTACTTCTTCTAAATTATCAAGTTTGATCTTCATTACAATATATATTGCTCCCACGTTTTTTTCAAAATATTATCTATATCATTTTATCCACACGATCAGTAAAGATGTCCTCGTTTCATAAACTGTTTTCTCACGTTCTGTACATGCAGCAGCTTGCCGATATCTAGATTCAGGGACGATACAACGAGCGAAAATCGTCTGATAGACCAGCACACAAACAACCTTGTTTTATCTGTTTCCGTCGACGGAATCTTGTGAGCAGTCCGTGCGATGCAGACTCAAAGTTAGGAATCTTACTGAGTTACCTTCTCGGCTTAACTCGTTCACGGCTCCATGCGTGTTTATAGCTGTGTGGCCCTGTTTTAGTCGTTCGGTCGTTAAACTGACTGCTGAGTGTGGTTGAGAATCTCTTCTCTGAAATATCCAGCTTTTTATCACCGGATGGGCTGGTAAACACTTGGCGGTTTTAATGGGCAATTTATAGAATAATGTTTCCAGTTTTATCAGAAACATCCAACGCACTTTTTTGAACCAAGCCATATTTGATACATTAGCTGAACGACGCTGATGCAAGGCAAGACTGCGGCATTGGTTTGCTCAGGCTTGACTAAGATAGCACCGCACTCCTCTTTGACATGTTCCTCCCTTTCTTTGCATGGAAAGCAGATTGTTGGCCAGGAATGATTACTAATGCAAGCAGTACACCTTTCTGGTATATCATCTCGCACTAAAAAATTCGGGATAGATTGCCAAGACCTCGTAGTTTTTATTCCAGTTCCTTAGCCGAATTTTGGTGGAGACGCTAGGATTCTGTCTAATTACTGAGGCGTTCAACCAGCATACTTAACAAATCGCCCACTATGTTTAGCGTTCCAGCGCTGTCATTAAAGTTGATGTAGACTGACGTGGACTTCAGCAGTGTTGTTTTCTTGATCTTACAGCCACACGCTTTATTGTCGTGTCAGTTCATGGTTCTCAGTGCAGTACAGGCGTTCGTGAGCTATCTGACTGTAACACTGCTGCTGAATTTTATGACTCTAGGCTTACACACGATTGCACAGCTCACCTATATATAGGTAAAGTAGGGCTGTCGGCAGGTTGCGATCACGGACTTATGTTTGTTGCGCCGAATCATTTCTAGGCTAGTATTTGCACATTGATAGCAGCCATATTTGATACGCTAGCGTAGCGCAAAACAAAAGACTCGTTGCGAACGTTAGGCTCTTTATAAGATATACTTCGTGAATGTATATGACTTTAAAGTGTATGATATCAGAAGAATACAATGAGAAAATCCTAGTCTAAACGAAATCATTATTAAACTTAACATGTGAACAAGTGTTTCTATATATGTACTCGTACATGAAATTCTATTTTGAATTAAAACTTGAATTGAAATGCTGTCACAGATTGCGCAGGCTTATGCTGAAGCCACGATTATGTCCTGTGACTGTGGAGAAGTGGATAATTATGTAGTCTCGGTGCGACGTTCGAAGTCAGGTGATGGAGCATTCCGATGTTGATTTTCATTCGCGGAAACCTGCAATACTAAGACAAAACATGTCGAGGATCGTACGTACAAGCATCAACCAGCAACCGATGTTCGGTTTCACTTCGAGCAAATAGAGAAAATTATGCAACGCTTTTGGGGCGACGTAAAGAGGCCTGGTATTATCAGGTAACCTTTTTACAGGAAGTTATGGACGGTTTCAATCGGCCGCAATTACATACCTAGAAGATCGGCATATTCAAGTATGAACAAGTTGAAAGCACAGACGATCCTAAATGTTGAGATACAAAGGTAGGTAACGCAGTCGGACATTACGCCGCGTCCTTTATAGGAGCCCTAGGTATTACCGCTGCTAATACTATATAAGAGTGACAAGTCGCGCGAATGAATCTTATTCGTATTAGCAATGCGTTATCACTACAACATTCATATACATAGAAGTTGAATTAAAGACATATATATATATATATACTTTGGACTGCTATAAAGCAATTATTTCTCAACTTATAACATTAAACTGACGGTAGAAGAAAGTCTAATTTAAAAACTAAGCATATGCCTTGATGGAAATCAAAATATTTCCAATTCTGATTAAACTAAATGCTCAAAATGGAAAAAAGCACTATGGGAAGAGTAATGCTATGCTTTCTAAAAAGATGCCTGTATAATTGTCAATTTGCTTGTGTGATCCCATTAGTTGCAAAAGAATAACGCTAACATGGTGAAGACACGGTTGTGCATTGAGGTGCGAAAGTGCGTTATTATATTGCATTAGTATAAAACTGCTGCAATTATAGTGAAAAAGTTACCTACGCGTTCTTCAGATCGTATGCCGTTCAGTTTTTTTCTTATGGCGCATAGTAAAAGGTGAGATACGCTGTCACATTAACTGGACGAACATGAGATTTTAATGGCATACACAGAAATATTATTTTTCCAGAAATTCACCTTTCTAAATTGGAAAATGAATTTTCTATGGAGCGAGTATATCCTTTTTGACGTGATAATATTTACATACATATATCTATACGCTCAACGCATCGTATTAAATGGTTTTTAGTAAATAGAAATAATATGCGGTCATGAAGCAGGATAACCTAACCTTGTTTTTCACGAACCTTTTAGGTAGAATCTCTTCCATTTTTGCAAACAAAAATTCAAGAAAAAGATCCCTAGTTTGAAATAAGCTAATGGATTCAATGAAATTGGGCCGAGTAAACGTGCCGCTCGACTGTCTAATCCATAAAAAAGCATTTCTTAGTAAATTAGACCCTCTCAGTCTCGTCAATGCTGGGCATACATTTATTTTGGATAAGGACCAAGTTGGACCCTGGACTTTGGTTTCTCTTCTAAAGGACTTCGCTTTGATCTTTGATTTATGTTGACGTATAGAAACCACTTCTTACTACGGGTGGCGAGATCTACCCCAGGCGAGATTTTCAGATGCAGCACTAACCTGTAGTTCCCTGTTGAATTCAAGGAGCTCTTGAGATATTTAAAGTCTAAATTTTTGCGTAAGCCTAAAGGACTTGAAGTGTTTAACAACGGTTGTGTGACTGCAGCCAAGTTTTTCGGCAAATTCAGGAGTTGTTTGTCGGTCATCTTTCTCTAAAGGTGCCTTCAAGTAGCCGTCATCAAACAAAAATGTTCAGTCACAGGGAAAGCTTCTTTTAAACCCAGTTACCATTTCTAAACTTAGTAAACCACTCTTGAGACCTTCTAGCGATAGCATTGTTACCTCGCAAAAGACAAATGTTTCGGGAACTTCGGCAACGTTTTGGCCTCGACGCATAATGCAAAAGGTGTCGAAACGTCCTGGAACATCCATATTTGAAAGGATCTTGCGAGTTGAAATCGCATTTGCAACACCGTTACAGCACATGGCTGGAGTAGGAAGAGCGCTTCCGAACAATACATAAGAAGTAAATAACAGGTTAGGGAGAGAGGAAAGTGAGCTTTATGAAGCGCTACCTAATGTCACCTAACACGCACACACACACATGTATATTTCACCCCACATATAGTTTATTTGTCTTAACAAATAAACTATATCAATACTGATATAAAATTAAATATGTTATGTTTCAGTTCCATTTCATTTTCTAAATTTTTCGCTAAAGCCATTATGATATTTGGAAGTCTCATTTTCTTTCGCTTAATTTTGTAATTAAATCCAGGAAGCCGTTTTAAATCCGTAGAAATAAAAAGTTAAATTATTTTTCAACCTTTTGTCAGTCGCTCGTATCTAAAATACAAGAGTTTGCTTATTGAATGAAGCCTTACGCTTAGGTAATACGAAACCAATATTTATTCAAATACTACGTTTTTTTTGTACCATAGAAACATTATTCTCAGGCTAGGTTTCTCATAAAATAGCCGTGCGTATCACTTAAAGTAGACGTCGCGATAATCTAAACAAGTAAGCCAGTACATAGGTTTATCAACTAAGTAAAGATTGGTTCGAATACGTATAATACAAATAATAAATAACTATAGTGTAATATGTGGTAAGCGTGCAATCGGGTTCGAAATAATCATCCTTCTAGTTGAATAGCGTATGTAGGTAGGTTTTTCAGACCTAGTTCAAAATCTTTAAGATGAAAGATGCTGGCGCAGCGACCGAGCTTCCGTGAGCAGACGAGACCGGGGTAACAACATCCCGTACGACAATCCTACAATAAAAGAGGAACACGGGTATACATAGCTAGTCACAGGTAAAACCATTGTCGAAGGAAAATGCCATATGTTACACATCTTTCAAATTTTAAGTCAGCTGCACATAATTGTATTAGATATAAACTACCATAATTTTACCTTTCAGCAATTAAGTATAAAACAGAAGTTTTTGAGAATTTATTTAAGTATAAAACATGCGCGGCGTAATGCAAAATAGTAACAAAGGTCGCACAAAGTGACTATGGAGTCCAAATTTTCGATTGCTTTCCGAAAAGGTGATATTTTCACATTAATCGTATCAGGAACCTTCGTGGTGTTTGTTACTATGACTTGAATCCCTTTGCGCTGAACAGAACATTAAAATTAAAGATATCCTTCTTGCCAAAAACCGACATTCTGTTATTTCCAGTTTTCGTATGGCTTTTCAAAAACCGCGCAAAGATTTCCATGAGGCAAACCGAAAGCTCCTCAATAGGTTTTGGTTTTTTAAGGCCTTATATATTTACCAAAATAGCTCAAAAAGCTTTCGATACGTTTGGGTTTTTGGCACAAAAATTAGTAGCTGTGTTGGAGAAGAAAACATCAGTTGTTAATTCGATCGCCAAGATAGGCTTTAATGATCAATTTCTTTGAAATTGTTGCGCTTTTTTACACCTTTTGAACTTTTTAACCCTTGTTTTTCTTTGGATATTTGACTTATATATAACCCAAAATGCAACAGTGCTAAATTTTTCTGTATGTAGCTTATTATGGAGATCTGGTATTTTCGCAACTACGATCCACGACAAAAATAGCGTTGAGCTGGCACCTGAGATCTGCAGCCAGTACGTCGTAATACCGTTGGTATTTTTGTTCAGTTTTTTTTTTGTTTTTGCTCCCTGTAACTTGTGAAACCCATTATAGAATAACAAGCGCTAAAACGCGGCCATGTATCGTCGGCCTTCCATGGTACTCGATGAATTTCACAAAAATCTGCTACCGCAAGCGACTACATCATTACCGGCATTAAAGCATGGATGGCGGTTTAGCATTACTGTCTCACAAGTCGATTACAGTTTCGATCGATTGCAGGATAGATAGAAACTAAGAATCGTCGATGCTCGTA